ATATATATATATATATATATTGTAACTGTAAGAGGCTTGTTCGTGTTTTATATTCTTACGCTTAGGTTGGCAGTATGATTACCACTAGTGGTGGGGATGATGTCAGCATACAAATGCACATAGCATTCCACTTATAACCAAGTCTGCACTACAATCCCTGGCCACAGCCATCCCACAGTAATATTAAAAAGAGTAAAAATATGTGTTTGATTGATACAAGGTAATGTTTGATAGGATGTGTTTCTCACAATTTTGTACAAAGAAAATTCATTTTGAAGAAACATTCAAACTCATGTAACCGATACACCCTTCCACAATAAACCATGACCATGATCATAACATTTTAACATTTATTACATTCTCAGTTATTTACAAATATATTTGTAAATGAAGTATATTGAGGAAAAATGTTTGATGTAGCAGTTCCTTAGCCTTCAAATTGTGTAAATTTAAAAAATGATTATACATTTTATCCACTCTCAAATAAATACTTGCTTTTCATTTATAGTCAATTGGTTGTGTCGGTTCAAGTTGACCTAAATATATTACATAAAAACACAGAGTGAATACAAACCCTAACTATATACAGGAGGCATTTTATTGTATATAAAGGTATCCAACTCGTACCCCTATTTCTTATCTGAGGTATTACTTGAAATGTATTTGGATCTATAAAATAAAATCATTCTTTTATTAATTTGTGAATAACCTCCTTCTTAGGACATATTCACAATATTATTTTGGTTGAAAGTATGAGTTGGAGAATGTGAAAGCATTCACTTTTTCTGTGCTGTAAAGTGATTTCTATCAGCAGATTCAGTACAAACTTTTATCGAGTTATAAAAGAAAATGAATCACTTGCAATTACGCAATTGTAAGAGAACAAAGAAGAATCAGAATAATAAAATGTGATGAAAACATTTTTGTAGATATTTTGATCATTGGCATTTGAAGAGAGTACAATTGTAAGGAATGAGAAGAAATGAAGATAAGCTCGGAGGTGTATATTCATTAATTGTGCAAGAAATATATTTATTTTTCACAATGAAGCCTAGTTGAGACTGCTACTCTCAAACATTACTTCAAAACAAAACATTCCATTTGGAAGTGTATTGGATCTCTTAGAATACAAGGTGAAAACTATTCTCTTCTCTTCAATTCTTCTAATAATGCCACATAAAATAACATTGTACTATAGTATAACTTGCCCTCATAATCTGAATTGATATGTATAATTAATGCTTTTGTTTATCCAAGAAGTAATTCCTCATGAGGGAAATAATTCAGGTCAAGAAGAATAGTCATGAAACTATTTTTTCACACAATATGTGTAAATATAAAGATGCAAGTAAAGTAATTTTGCACAGCAGTATAAGAGAGCCAAAAACCTTTTAATGTGAAAATGATTTGAAGAGTTCTATAATTACCAATCCACAACTAAATTTGGCTCCTAATTAGTAGATTTTTATAATTCAAATGTAATTGAAAAGTCTACACTATGAGAACATACATCCTGCAATAGCTTTTCTTAGAGCATATGAGGCACTGCTTAACTGAATTTCAGAACAAACTAAAAGTTTATTAATATTAATAATAATAACACGGGAAAGCACACTACATGCACAACTTATTCTCTGTACCTTTTGATATAGAGAATATTGAGGAAGTCAAAATGTTACACTTTCACTGTTCAATCACTTTCTGGATGTCTCTTTATTGCATTCACTACCACACCACAAGTTTCACTAGTTCCATTTGTTCTTTTTACTCCATGCTGATGGACTCGGAGATGGACATGTTCCCTTTTCCACATTGTAAGGCAGGATACCTATCACATAATTCCTCGAACCATTCATACACACACTGGTTGTTTGATTTGTGAAAACTTTTAGTTTAACATACTTTATGTCGAAATTCATGTACCGCAAATCTTGCCACTAAATGTCTTGGGTCATATCCTCTTCCCATCAGTTGTGTAAAATTCTTCCCATATTTCTTTCGTTTTCTCTCAGAGTTCCTTCATTAATTCTTCAAGATGTAACGTATTTGGTAGCAGCATTTGGTATCGCAGTTCTTCCACATAAAAGGGCTCCCTTCTTAGCTCATACACTAGTTGTGGAGTTAACTCGGACACCCCTATAGCTTTATTCAAATAGATTTCCCTTTCTCTATTTCTTTCAAGTCCTTGTTTAGGTGTTCCCAAACAATCTCAAGTCCGCATTTTTTCACTGGAGTTTTTTTCAATCTGAATAATTTCCATTCCTCTAACATTTTGGTTGTTTGAGAGGGAATATGATTTATAACGTGAAAGGTCATTAACTAAACACTAGGATAACTATTTAAATTATGACACTGAAGAACTAAACAGTAAGGCTGCATAAACTTCTTGTCTTTGATAAGAAGTCAAACACCTATAGAAATAAAAATCAGTTTCTAACACTTAACCCTTCCTGAACAATACTTACCTACTACTACCTTAATCTCTTCGTTTTAAGTACAAATTTTCAAACTTTTCTCCACTGAAATACGTCAATTCTAAAACTGCTTGAAATTACATTTAAACTTAGAGCTTCTAATTAGTCAATAAACAATGGCAAAATACTAAAAGAGAAAAAATAAATAGTAAACACTTGCATGAGATATTTCATAGCAAGAGGCATCTCTCCCAAGCCAATATACAGAATGAATTGAAACTTAGAAGGGTTGAAGTTTAGTATACGGTACACCCTTAGAGAAGCGTGGCGGCAGGGCTTAAGCCGTAATCACTATACATGCTCTAATAGAAATGAGTAAAACTTACGAATACAAGATTTTCATAGTTCGCCCTTTTTATGCTTTGTCCCCGCTGCATTGTTAAACCAATTTACTTTCAAAGGCAAGTTTTCTCGCTTCGCTCGCCTGGATCTAAGTCACGGCGAGGTTTGGGCCTTCGACCCTCGCATTCACTATAAACATCCTCAAGTCTATCCAACGCGTAATTACCAATTCACTTTTATAAGAAAGCACTTTTGAAGAAAGCTTCCAGAATTTTAACTGCCTAGTTAACACCGGAACGGCGCGAAGTGCCAGTTTAAATGACTTCCTTAGGTTGTACCGTATACTACATTTAAGCCTTTAGAAGATATAAACTTGTGAAAAATAAATCTATAACAAGATTAACATTACAGGACTAGTAAGGATTTTTAACTTCTTTGTTCACTTAATCCAAAGTCCATCCCTCACAAAAATATTCTGTTCATGAATAGAACATTTTTAAGATGACACAAGCTACAATTGTTCAATTTCTAAACATTAGGGCAAACAAGGACAGAAAGACCAATAGTTTGTAACATATGTAGCTTTATTTACAAGACATTATTGCAAAAAGGTTGAGCCCAAATTGTGAAACTACACAAACTAGTTCTCTATGATACTTTTCATGCAACAATATCAGAAACTATCACAAAAATACGCAACAACTGATTCACTTTGTATTCCATTCTGCACGTTCTTCCATTTCTTTTTGAACTTCCTCTAAATATGGTTGGAGGTACCTCTCATCCTAAAATAAAAATATACATTTTAGGGAATTTAATTTAATGGTAATACAATGGGTACAGTAATAAATTTATTTGTCACATAATAATACTCAGCTGTCATACCTCTTCCCACTTTGTCCATTCTTCTTTTGGGAGGTAGGATTTTGTCAAAGAAAGCTGCATTGCCCTTATTAGACGAAAATTGCGCTCGTCAACCAAATGCTGGGGAAGGCGCCGTACAGCTTCCTGTACATCAGCCCGCATATTGTTCAAAAGGTCATCATGACGAAGACCTGCAAACACAAATCATTACAATCTCTTTCTTTGGTAAGCAGCACAAAGTGAAGGTTGACAATGAAAATAAATTTACTTATATAGTAAACATACATGGTGCAAGAACAGGGATTAGAGTTCAAGGAAGGGCAGATTGAACTTCTCTAGAGTTTTTAACTGTTTTCCGACTTTAAATAAGTACATTTATACAGTGCAAATTTAAGATGTGGTTCAATTATTCCCTAACCAAATAAATATTTAAATGATGTATTTCTATAACTGCCACTCTTCCTTCTTTCCGATATTAACGACAGCACTATTTGACTCCACACACTAAAAAATAATCCTTACGCAAAGAAATGTGAATAGTCGAATTAATTATACTCACCATACTTATTAAATCCTGATAAATTATACGCCCATTTCCGTAGGGAACCTAAGGGAAAATTTTTTAAGGCCATTATTTCATTTGAAGAAATGAACTATATAAATCAACAATGAAGATAAAACAAATGCAATCTACAAATAATGAGCATACCCATAAATCCCGTAGCCTGTCTCACGGCCATGGTTCCAAGGATTAGGAACAAATACAGTAGAATTTCTAGCCAAAAAGATGTATTCCCATTCCCTAGAAGACGGAACCGGACGGAACCACGGAATCAACGACTGGCGAACCAGAAAGAACGAAGATGAATCAGTGATCCGTCTTGGATGCGAATTCACGAACGAATCATATTAAACAGTTCATTTATCGTTTATCATATAAACGGTTATTTATTTATTTTATCATTTATCATATATCCACATTTTTTGTGCACTACATTGCGTATTTATACCATTTTAATACCATGGTAATACCACGATGTAAGAAATATGTATTACACCGTGGTAATGCCATGGATCGTGAATGGCAATACCATAGAACAATTTCTTCCATGGTAATACCATTTACCATTGACAAATAATGAAGCATCCTTGCATTTTGACAACAAAAGGCTTAAATTCTATTTTTATTGCATCTGTGTCCTCAAACGCGAAAGTTTATAAAGTGGGCAAAATTAATGAACAATGATCAGGATATTTTGAACCCTAATAACAAAATTAAAGCAATGAGAAATATCGTAAATCATTACCATTCCAAAATTTTGTAGAAAAATGTGTGTTAAAGGATAATGCCAGAGAGGTAAGTTATCCGTAAAAGCTGCAAGGCTCTTCAACATACACTTTTCTAGATTGATTTCACGAAAGGATTAAAACCACAAAATTCAACATCATACTGCGTCCCCGCAAAACGATACGATTGTTGTTTCCGAAAATTCTTCCAGTGAAATTCTCAGAATAATCAGTACACTAAAATATGATTATTAGGCTGATTTAGATAAATTTTCGGATTGTTTACTAAAACATTGTGAGCCTGACTTCATTATACATCTGTTAACTCAGATTTTCAATGCTTTCTTATGCACAGGAATATTTCCAAGTATTTTCAAAATAGCAAAAATTAAGTAACTTGAGAAAATTGAAATTCAAAATTATCGTTCAATTTATTTTGCCCGTTTTTTCAAAAATATTAGAGTGACTTTTTTCATTAAAAAGTATATATCAATAGCATTTTTTTAGAAAATCAATGCGTTTTTCAATTTGTCAACATGAATTTAGAAAATCAAAATGTATGAAAAAATATTTTTGTCTTAAAAATTTAATATTTAATTTTGGATTAAAATGAAGCACCTATTTATCAATCCTACTATTTATCAAACAGTAACCAAGTAGTTACCCTTCAGCACACTAAAGAAAACAAAATCCCTGATACTACTCCTGCCCTCAGATAAAAAATTCTGGAGTTCCGCAAGGATCCATCCTTGGGCCAATACTATTACTTTCATACGTAAATGACCTTTGGTCTTAAGGGAAACCGAAATAATTTTGTATGCAGATGATACAAACATAATCATCAAAGCAAAAAAACAACAATCATTAAAAAATAAAACTCAAAACCTTGCATGCACTAAAAAAATGGTTTCAAGACAAAAAAAACAAAAAAAAAAACCTCATCATAAACAGCAGCAAGACAGTCTCTATAAATTTCATGAATCCCTGATCAAATGAAAAACTCTCGCAGCATTTGATCATAAATAATAATTCTGTAACGATGTCTCATGAAACTACCTTCCTCGGTCTAACAATCCAAGAAAATCTGAAATGGAATAATCACATCTCAAATCTTTACAAGAAGCTCACAAAAACTTGTTGCCCTATACACCCTCAGGTCAAGCTCCAACATTGAGACACTTCGGACGATATATTTTGCGAATGTGTACTCACACCTAAAATTAGGAATAATATTCTGGGGAAATGAACCTGAAAGCGCTTGCACATTTATTTTTCAAAAACGAATACTGCGAACAATGACCAGCACCCATAAGCTGAAATCTTGCAAACTCTTATTCTAAGGATTCTTCCTCTACTACTCAAAATCTACGGAAACAGCAATTTTTTCTTTTCTATGAAAGATGTCGCCTCATCCATGGATCAAAACGAAGCACCTATTGGAATATTTTTAGATCGTTCAAAACCTTTTGACGTCATTGATCATAACATTTTACTCTGTTATACCGTAGGTAGTACAATATCAGATATTTCAAATTGGTTCCGTAATAACAAATTAATAGTAAATGAAAAGAAAACTTTTCAATGCAGTTTTCCATTTCAAATAAACAGATTTGCACTTCACTGAAAATGAACGATGTGCCTTTGACTGATGTGAAGGTAACAAAAGTTTTAGGTCTTTCAATTCAGTCAAACCTTAAATGGAATGTCCATTTAACTGAATTGAACACTAAATTTAGTTCTATATGCTACGCATTCGGAATTCTTTCAAATTCAGTTAGCCTCGACACTACTCGTTGTGTATATTTCGCGAATGTTCATTCCCGCCTGAGATATGGCATAATATTCTGGGGAAATACATCTTACAGCAATCAGACTTTTAGATTACAAAAAATAATTATACGAATAATAAGCAAATCCCACTCACGTGATTCTTGTAAGCCTCTCTTTATTAATCTAGGTATTTTGCCATTACCTTGTCTCTTCATATATGAATCAGTGGATTTTGTAAAAAATGACTTACTTAAGAGCGGGAATATATTTTCAGCAAATACCGTTGTCTATAACTACAACTCGACGGAGTAAAGTAATCATATTCATCAGGTGACAGTATCAACATTTCACTACAAAAAAATCACATATAATACATCTACATTATTTTACAACACCTTGCCAGATGACATTAAACGATTAAATTTGATACAAAAGTTTAAGACCCAAGTAAAATCCTTTCTGCTGCACAATTGTTTCTATACAATTAGAGACTTTAAAGCATCCAAAAGGAAAGTAATATTAATTTCAACAATGACATTTAATGTATTATATACCATTTGGATTGTATAATTGTAAATAACGTGTAACAAGTATTGTACTTTAGGTTCTGGGTCAATGACCCACATCTCGGTGAGGTTTTGGTCCAGTTTCCCTGATTCTCGAGCAAATGCTGAGATGGCCCCTTGTTTTGCTTTTGGACATAAATGTAACTTCAAATTAACTTCTCCCCATAGCACGTCACACACAGATTTTAACTGTTTTTGACGTAAATAAATAAATAAAATAAATACTGTGCATGTATGTCGGAATCAGAGGAGGAAGTTGTAGGATTTACCGCCTAAAGAAAAAACAACGTGGCAAGACTTGCGCGGGAAGCAAGAGAGAAGTTGGACTATGATGGCTAGAGAGACAAGAGAGAGGTTAAATGCTCTGCAAAATTAATTTGTAGTAATGTGTATTTGTTTTCTAATAGTTTAATAATAATGTTATTTTGTTCCTGAAGTGAAGTGATTCGTATTTGACCCATTACCGCCTCCCACAATTTGGGGGCTCGGCCGCGATTGAGTTTTTGATGTCAGATGAAGCTACATTTTCACCAGCTTTTGTCCATGATACAGACGCCGTGTTAGTTTGTGGTGTCTTTGAGTGACGACGACGACGAAGATACGACAAAATACGCCTTTTCAACGGCGAATGGCAATGACCCCATCTCGATCAGGTTTTTGTCCTGTTTCCCTGGTCCTTTGAGCAAATGCTGAGATGGCCCCTTGTTTGCTCCTGAACCAGTAATGTAACTATTCGCTCTCTCCACCCAATGGCCATCATATTAAACTCGTCATACACGATTGTAATTGTATATGTGACTCAATAAATATAATAATAATAATAATAATAATAATAATTATTATTATTATTATTATATTATTATATTATTATTTATTAATTATATTATATTATTATTATTAATGGACGAATTGGTTAGGAATGAACCCATCTCGATCAGGTTTTTGTCCTGTTTCCCTGATCCATTGAGGCAAGTGTGCTGAGATGGCCCCATTGTGTTTGCTTCTGGACGTAAATAGCTAGCCCTTCACTTGGATGCGCACCGTTTTGCTTGAACTCCTCCTTTATGCTTTGTAAGGTAGAGAGAGTAGAGGTAAAGACGCACGTTGCTTTTTCGTTAGCAATGCAGAAAAATCATACTTGCAATTCGTGTACCGATGCAAATAAATTTTCTATAACTCAGAAACCATGACTATTTTTCAAATATTGTTAATCTTGCGATTTTTAAAATTTATTTTTACAATTTATTTTTATTTATTTATTTTATTTATTTATTTCTGTTATTTCGTATGCTAAACTTTCACTCATCTTTCAACTATTTATATTTAAAATGACGGGAAGGGAATCTGGAACTCAAGAAAACGTGCGCTGATAATCTTTCCGCTGCTAGGTCACAAACAGTTTTTACTGTTTTTTTTGACTGAATAAATCTAATCAAATCAAAGAAAGGGAAGCAGTATTGCAGCATTTAGATACGATTCAAAAATAGTGTTTCGAGACTTCAAATTCAATAGTATTATTGACATTATAAAATATCAAGAATCCGGGCGCAGTTCAGATGATAAACCCGAACGTAACCCCCGCACCTGTAAAAGTCATCAAAGCTCTCGACAACCTAATTTTTGAAACCGTTTCAACGGACCGAAATAATCTGAAACGCTTGAAAGAATTTCCGGGAGTCACATTTGATGTAGAATCCAACGAGTATGAATTGAAAAAGAAATTTATTCAAGATACATTTTCAGAAGCAGATCTCGGTGCTATTTGTAATATCTTATTCATTGATACTGGGACAAAATACAAAATGATTTCTGAAACATGTTATTATTTGAGAAATCCGAATAAATTAGGATCAGGAGACACTATGAAACTGAAAATGCTGGTTCGAAACTATCTCCTGGTCCAAGCAGAGGTTTTGATAAACAGAAACGGCGGGTTTGGAAGGTGGGCGCGGAAGGCGGGCGTGGACGGGGCAGGTGGCGTGGGGAGCGGAGGGCCAGGCGAGGTTGGTGGAGGGCGGTGGCAAGCGGCGTTGAAGGTGGAGGAAGCGATGGCGTGGACAGAGGCTGATGGCGGCTGGGTGTAGGCAAATGCGGTGAAGACGGAGGTGGCACGGTGAGGCTGGGGACGGCGGCGGCGGGCGGGCAGGGCAGAGCGCCGGGGTGCGGAGGGGTCCGGGCTCTTCAGAGAGCGCGATTCATCAGACGGCGGAAGCGGCGCGGCGCGGTGCGGCGGCGGGAACAATTTTGCCTACGTGTGTT